ACCATGGATATTTCAACATCAAAAGTTAATGTCAATGTGATAACAAGAAACCCCAACTTGCCCGAATATATTAAGAAAAAAAACCAAAAGTGCTTCTTTAAGAAATTCATGAAAAACACTCAGAGAGTGAAAGAAACACATTTTTTTCGGGGTACAGCATAACCTTAGAGGCATTAATGCTATAATGGCACTTAAAGTTTTTAGTTTATAAACCTTAATATAATTGTTAACTAGGCTTATTAACTTTTTAACTTTACTTTTTATCTTTTCAACTAGCTTTATACCTTTTTTTTTTTTTTTTTTTTATCTTGACTTGTTAATTTTTTTTCCCCCAACTTAATTTCCAGTAGGTAATGTATCATTCAAGGGCTCATGTAATTGGTCAAATCCCAAAATCAGATGTACAGCAGCATCTTTGCTGAATGGCTGGATATAGATCTTGTGCTTCTAGACCTCACTGAGGGATGAGGGGGACTCCATTTGTTAGTGGTATGCGAGTGATCAAAAACAGTAACTTGCCCTATAAGGGCATCCTACGTGCTCGTTCCCATTTTTACTTACCTGTGGTGAGTCTGACATAGTGGAAAAATAACAAATCTTTTGAAAAGTAAGCTTGTATGAGCGATGCAAACAGCAACTTTTAAACAGGGTGCACGATGAGCGGGTACAGGGGTTGTGCACTGGCATTTAATTTCTTTAAAAGTGGAGAGGCCGGGTCTTTTTTAAAAATTTGCAAAGATCCTCCAATATACATGTAATTCAGGAAATAGTTGACTACACTGGAAAAATTATCTAGAAATAAGTAAAAATTTCTTAAATTAAGTATTTTTACCCTTAATTTGAGTAACTAAATGAGATGGGTTGCCAATGGGTTGAGCATTTTCACTCTTAGATTAAGATAATTAGATATTAAGCACTTGAAATTAGACAATGCCATTGTTTTTTTCTTATTTTAAATGTAAATTGTCTCGTTCCGTTTTTTAAATGTCTCACTTTCCTCCTCAATTCAAGAAGAAATGCACTTATTTTAGGAAAAAATAATTTATGCAGATTTCATTTTTTGCAGTGTAATGCATAGAACCCATTACATGAATTTGAAATTCAAGTTCAGTGGCCACTTTTTTTTCATGACAACAGCCTATTAAACCATAGATGGTGGCAGTCAGGGTTAAACGCTTATTAATTCGACCTGCCAATGCTGTATACTCAGTACACTTATTTTTTTCCCAAATCATCAATTGAATGTCAAAAAAACACAATATGCAGAATAAAGTTTCTTCATCGGCTTTAAAATACAAGACAAGAAATGACAAATAATTACCCTGTGGGTCGAAACACAGATGGAGAAAAAAAAACTGCCTATATTTCACAACATAGTGTTGGCAGGTATGGTCTATCTGTCATTATTGCTGTTTGAAAGGCAGTGCTCTACTACTGCAGGATCTCCAGGCACTTATATCCTGGGGGAGAATTCAAAAATGTCACCTGCGATTCCATCAATACAAGAGGAAATCCAATATTCCATAATCCATGAAGCAGAGTGGCCTCTGGACTCTGGCATTTCCATCTGTGTGAACATATTGGTGTCCAACTATTTACAAATTATTGTTTGACTCTATTTCAGTAATTTAAACCTTTAGATCCTTCTCTAAAATGATATTTAATGTGGCTGGTAAATTAGCTTTTCTTAATAATTTTAAAATAAAGTTATTTAATTGTTTCATTTTAAAATAATTGAGTATAGTAAATATTTTTTAAACAATTACTGAATTTATTTTGTCTCTCATTATATCCAAAAGCAGTTTTGTTTTAGATCTTCAAAGGATTTTAATGTTATTTGTCTATAGGTCACCCACCAGAAGTAATTAAATGCATGTTTTTGAGCTGCCGAAATTTAGAAAAAAAAATGCATGTACACTATATATATATATATTTTTTTTTTCCAGTAAAAACTATTTTTTTTTGTGCACCACTTATTAATTTTTTTATTGTTTTGATGGAACAAGTTGTAGCTATGACCTTTAAGTATAAAAATGGGAATCAATGTATTTCTTTTTATATACTAACACACACTAAACAAGACAAAGAAATCCCATTTAAAATAATTTAAAGTTTTGATTATTTAATGGATTAAAAATCTAAACAAAATGTTATTTTAAAGCATAGAAAGAGATTTTATTGTATTTTCTTTGTCATTGTTTCTTTGCTCAATGCTTAAGGTAGTAATTGTTTTTTTTTGCCTGAAGTGCGAAGCATTTTGTTTACCTCTTTATCTCCTTCAGGCTCCAACCAACATGAAGTCAGTGCTGCAGGCCGGCTGGCTGCTCACAGTCGCATTTGGCAATGTGATTGTGCTGATTGTGGCCGAGGGGGCGGGACTGGAACAGGTATCCCAATAATATCTTCAACATAATTTCACTCTCCTGAACCCTCAGTTTGTTTACAACCTGCAATATTTCCTCAGTGGATCGAGTTCCTGCTGTTTGGAGGCCTGCTGCTGGCCGTTTGTGTCATCTTCTCCATTATGGCCCACTTCTACACATATGTTGACCCCGAACAGCTGAACAAACTGTACTCTGAGGAGCCGGGAAAGGAGGAAGATGATGGAGGCGAAATCAAGAAGAAGGAAATTGACGACATGCCACTGAAAACAAGAGAAAAAAGCACCAGACTGTAATTGCGTCACAGAGCTTGGTTATTAGACACTTCTATTGGTTTAGAGGTCCAATATTCTGGGTATTCAGAAAAATATTCAGTGAAATTCATCAACCTACTCACTCTTGAGTTTGCAATCACACAGGAAGCACTGGAACCAGTTTAAATATATGTAATGTTTACCTGAAACAATGATTTCCCGATGATCAAAGGTACCGCTGTTGACTTTTAAAATTGCATACGTTTGCTGCATAATGTGGTTTACATTCAGTCTATAAAACAGCACAGAATCTACAGATGAAAGGTTTACAGTGACGCTGATTTTCCGTAAGCTAAGTTACAGTTTCATAACGATGGACTGTAATGTGTGGGAAGATATCTCATTTACTTTAAGTGTTATTAAATGGGAGATTAGGAAAAGCAGTTCCTTTTGCTCATGCTGACTCGCTTGTTTCGATTTACAGGGACAATGTAATTCTTACAGTGATATGAACACTATAAAGTCACATGCTTTCTGATCCTATTATGTTGTGATCTGGTTCTTATGCCAAAACCAAAGCTATAGTCTTAATCTGTCTCCATTTTTAATTCAGAGAAGGTGGAAATCATGCTGCTCCCAACAAACTTCTGTAAATAAATATCTGATGGTAAAACTGGCTTGTTTTTGTTTTTATCCAAACAGTGTTTACAGCTTTTTTCTCTCTTTGGTTCAGTTTGCTTCCGGTGTGAATTTAAACTGACACTCGGGACCACCATCATAGCTTCACCTATTTCTATCCAACATTCGTCACACACTGAGCTTTATTTCTGATAGGGCTGAAAAGGTTAATTTGATTAATTGGTTTTTAATTTAACTAGTTTAGCAAATAAATAAACCTTAACTGGAGTAATGAGACTCTAAAACATAACATTAGCTCAAAGAGCATTTAAGATGGAAAAACTAGAATATGGTTTACCCATAACTCTAGTGGGAAAAAATGCCTTAAAGTTTTATTTAAATTAACTATAAAACTTAAAGGCTTTTTTTCCCCATTTGATTATTAACCCTTTAATGCCAAATACGGTTTCTGAAATGTTTTGCGTCTGACACCTTTTGCATAATTTAATGGTAAAAACTTTGCTCAAAATCCTATTGTACACAATCAGATATACCTGATAACAGAGGGCAGAAGACTACACAAAAAACAATTTTGACTTATCCCATCGTAATAAATTATTAATATCAAAAATTTATTTTTGTTTTTTCTTTTTACATATTTTGTTAAAAGGCCAAATAAGGACTTCAAACCAAAAAAAATGTTATTTTCTGTTTTGTTTTATTCTTGGATCGGGCTTTAAAGGGTTAATGAAAAAGGTAAAATACAGATTATTAATTTAGGAAAATAATCGTTAGCTACAGCCCTAGGTTATAGTTCTTCCACTAAACTTTCCATTTTTAGTGGTTGATAAAGTCCTCTGTGAAAACCCAGCTTGTTCAGTAATGATGTTTTGTACTTTTTCCTTTCTTGTGAAGGACATTTATTAAAAGTGAATAACTAGTTGTTCAGGCCATAGGAGTTAATTAGCTTCTCTGTCCTTTTGTTTGCTTGGTCTGATAAAATAGTGGAACTATTCAATTACATATGGATTTATAAAGTTCTATATAGAAATATCTAAAGAAAAAATGGTAAATGCGGTAAGAAAAAACCCCTAAAACATTTCAATTTATTGTAAATACATGACTGTCTCCTTTGGTAAGATGTACTCTGGTAGCAGATTCAGTCGATGGCCATTAATCCAGACAGCATTATGATCAACCCTTTATGGAAGCATTATTTTTATCCCTGAATGACAAAACATTAGAGAGGAAATCAAAGGTTTCTGTTGGGGAAATATGACTGAATTATTTGGGCCATTAGCATACTAACTGGATGGAGGTGGTCATTTTCTCCTCTGCTGGAGGATCTAAACCAGATTAACGTGAGCTGGACGACACGGTGAGGAAATGGCAGAGCAGCTGGACAGCATGACTCGCTGCATAATGATGTTTTCTTATATTTAAGGTCTTTAATAGCAGGATCACAGAATAAGAGTAGAGAAAGGAAAGGTGTTTTGTGACAGCAGGAGCTACAGATTCATGTCCGGCCTTTGGCAGGTTAGCTTTAAAGATGGCCTCCTGTGTGCCTCTCCATCAGCAGCTCTGTCACACGGCTGATGATGTCCGGATGGAGCAGACAGTCTAACAGGTCATTAGTGGTGATCAGTGAGGGTCCAGATCCTTGATAATTCTCTGTGGACCGCTCAGATGTCCTTCGGTCCGGTGTCACACAGTCACGACCAGCAGACTGCTGGGAAGAGACGGCAGAGCTACAGGAGGACGCTTCAGGGACCGTCGCTTCCTCTTCCTGACACCTCACAGGGAGCAGATGTTGCCCGAACGGGATACTGAATTCCCCAGATACCTTCCCCCCATCTCCCCTGGGCTTTACTTGACCGCATGAGTCCCGCTTTACTGGTTTCCTCTGGAAGTTTCTCCTCTTTCTCTGAGCAGACGCCATCACTGCCAGGTTGAGATACTGCATGTTTTCATCGTGGGACGACTTTTCTTCCTGGAGGAATCACAACGTACAAAACATTTTTAGACTTTGTAACCTTTAAATAGAACTGCCGGTTCCCTCCTTAGCCCTCAGTTATGCATAAAATTCCAATACTTTAAACTAATAACCAGATGAAATCAAGTTATAAATCAAGATCAACACAAAGTAGTGTAATATTATGAAGAAAAGGCTGGTTTTCAGCTTAAAATCTAAAATCTGAAATGCACAGCATATGTTTATATTCAGACACTAAGTACTTTATAGAAAAAGCTTTAGCTCCAGTTTCAGCTCTACCTGTTTTGAGGGAATTTCCCCACCAGAAGGGATAATCTAGAGAATTAAATGGTAGCATAAGGAGCTAAAACTCAGTGGGATTGGATGCTGAGCATCTGTGATCATCATTGGTGTGTTCCTGTTGGTCCTTCTACCAACACATTTATGCTTTATTGGGTTTAGCTCATCCATCTGACTTCTAAGTTAGAGCTGAAACAGGCAGTCCCACAGCATGATGCTGCCATCACTGAATGTTTTGCTGCACCATAGGCCTATGGCCTGCTTCTTAGACTAATGATCTCCTTATCTTGGTAGATCTGCAGCTTATTCTTTTCATTTTCAGATGGTAAACTGAACAGAGCTCCGTGAGACGGCTAAAGATAAGGACATTTAGCTTATTTAACCTTAACTTGCTTTCGAAGCCTCTTCTCTGCTTTCCTCCTGCTCTGGCTGGTGAGTTCCTTGACCTTCAGGAGGAAGTTTCTTCACCAATATTCTATATTCAACCCCTGAAGTCCTCATAGAACAGCGGAGATTATTAATAAAGGGACTTCTGAATGGATCTGCAACTAACCATGCACTGCTAATCGATAAATCCTTAATTTTTATGCTCAAAAATTTTATTTTAAAACGCTTGAAGCAAAACTTCTACTTGTGGACTTCTGGATGGAACATTATTGAAAGTTTTCTTTCATCTTCACTCTTATAGAAACTGCTCTTAATGGGTTATTCTTTCAATAAATTGCCTGATTTAGTCTGTATATGTCGATTATTAGATGATTATATTGATAAACAGTAAAGTAAGTAAAGGCTGTAGCGCCCCGGGGCCTCCTCACACGGTTCTTTTCCTGGGAGCAAGATATTTACTACTCTTAACTCAAACTGGGTAAAACCATATAAAAAGGACTATAAAAACAGGAGTAAAAAAAATGACAGAGTTTATTCCAGATCAGGTCGTTACAGGACAGAGAAAAATGCTTAGAGCTATGCACAGCTGTGGTCTCAAAAATCACGTCCGCAAGCATCCGGCAAAGTTTGAGCCCGAACAACGTCATCACCTGCTTCTTATAGCTCATGGGTCTATGTGTTGCATCATGTTGATGTTTAGCTGGCCGTATCAGAAACTGACACGCCATCCATGTCTTGAACTTCATGCAGCTTGCTTCTCTGCTTCAGGGTTACAGATAGCTATCCTCTATCAGACCGGCTCCAAGATGTGCCCATATCTTGTGTATTCTTAAAGACATGAAGGCTGTCTTGATTTGATGACCTCCGTACACACCGCGACATCCACAATATGAAGGAAGGCCTTCTACTCTGTCTAATCTGGCTAACAGAATAACAATGCACATGATGTATAAATTATAAACCTAACAAATACAATAATGTATGTGGATGTAGTGTGAAAAGATTTTAAAATCTGAGTGGAGCGCTTTTGCAGGCTACAGTGAGGATGTATGGTTCTTCAAACCTGACACAGCCATTCTGTCACCTCATTTGATAGCAGTTGTCAGTCGACATGGATACTAAACCAAATGTTCAGATCCTCCTTACTCCTCCTTACTCTGTTTACACAGTTGTTCTTGTTCTGCCTGAACTCTTTAACTTCAAAGCGCCATAATAAACACACTGTAATGATGCTCCTGTGCAATAAGAGATGCTTATCCGTGCATTGTCAGCAAAGAGGTGTTTTCAACCTGCGCCTCCCACTGCGACGTAAAGCTACAGACCCCTCTATAGGTGGGATTAAAAATGTTACATGAGGTGGATGATGCTGGTGGACAGAAAAATAGAGACAAATTTACCTCATATTCCCAAAAAAAGAGTGAAAAATGGGCCAACAAGTGCAAAAAATCAGTCTGATTGGATTAAGGCTTAGAAATATACACATAATTATCTCTCACAGCGTGTGGCATTTAATGCACCATAAACATGAAATGTTTACTGCAGCAGATCAATAGGACTTAAAATTGAAATCAGGTTGTGTTTTTTTTTCTCCCTCTAATAAATAAAACTGAAATCTGTGTCAAACTGGGATTAAAAAAAGCTGTTTTGATTCAGATGCTTGTTGATCCAATATTAAGATCAGTCAAGTAATTTAAAAGGTACGGTGGAGGATCAAAATCAAATCAAAGGTTCCCTGGGCATAATTTTCCAGAGTGTCTCTAGAAAGTTTGAAAGAAATCAAGGTAAAGAAGAAAACCAAACTAGCTTTTACAATAAGTAGCTTTTCCACGAAGGAATTAATGATAAAATTGTGTTTGTTAGAGGCAGACAAAGCAACTGACTGAAAGACATAAATGGGTAATTTCCTTTAATCGGTGATCACAATACTGAGAAATCGGACATTTTTTTTTTTCAATAAATGCATCTAAACTAACTCTTCCATTTTTGATTGATTCAATCATCTAATAGCAGTAAATACTCTCCACATTTATTTAATAGAATCAAATGGTAAAATGCAAAGATAAATGTTTGATTTAATGAGAATCATCATTTTCTGTTAGATTTCTGACAGATTTTTCTATGAAAGAATCTAATGAACATTTTCCTATTTAATTTTTTGTATGTTTAAAGAAAGAAATTCATTTTTTGGATATCAGTATCAGTCAGCAAAGAGTTACTGAAACATCTCTAAATAAATAAAGCTGTTAGTCTTTATATTTTACAGCATCTTTTCATCCTTACAGTTTATCTTCAGTGAAAGCAGGAATTACTACGGAGCCCGGGAGCTGACACGGGAAAATTTCCCACAAAACACTAATTTATTTCCCTCGAAAAAATAATTTGGGCGCAAACCTGTTCTCATGATTTAAGCATTTTTGACCACAGCATTACTTTATGGTGCACACAAAATACAAAAACATAATCCTGCTAGAGCAGTTAGAGGAACAGCAGAACAAAGCAGCATGATAGACGTGACAGTCTGATCGAGTTTTATTTAAGGAGCAAGATAAAGACATTCTGATCAGCCTGGCTTTGCAAAGATTTCTCATTAGTGAGGCATTTAGGTCATTGACAGGAGCCGACTTTCATCAAACCTCAAGTGATCAGAGCTTATCTTCAGCGTTGCTTTACGACCTGTAATGCTGCGTCATTAAGCTGATCCAGCTACTGATTTTCATCAGCTTGTTTCTGTTCTTACTCCTCTGTATTGCTACAGTTTATAACCTTTGTCTTCATCATTCACAGCAGCGATCTCTGGCTCTGTCCTGACCATTTCTCCTCTGTTGCTTGGCTGCACAGGGAGCCTCAAAGTGCATCTTTATACATGCTGAAGGCTGACTGCTTTGTTTGTGGTCTGGACAGACGTATAGACGTATAGTCAGTGCTGCACTGCACCGAGGATGAACATAGAGGGAAGAATGCAGACTTTAGACTCTAAAAAGCATCTTTAAAGACAAAATTACAAAACAGTAAGTAAGGCTAAACCTTACTTACCGTAAATGCTCTTTTTGGACACAATAAGTGCTCTGTGCACAAAACTTAGTATTTTTTGGGAACAAATAGGTACTTTGTGCACTTTATATCTTCTCTTCCTCCATGTCTCAATCTGGCTCCGTAGATTACAGGGCTTCATCAAACATTATTTATGTTTTCACATATTTTGTTACCTCAGTGGGGTTCAGCCAGATGTCAGTGTTTTCATCACTTTCAGTACTTTTCATTGCACAGACGACCGCCTTGGTTACAGCTTCACCGACTCTAGCCACATCGTCCTCTTCCTGCAGAAACAAATCAGTGGAATTAGCCTTCCATATCTCTTAATTCATTTATTACAGTTTCTAACTCTGATTTAGACAGATTATACCTCTCAAGGAAAGGTGTTAAAATTAATTTTCTTTCTGAATTAGATGTTTCATATAATGAAACTAATTTCATATTAAAGATAACCTGAATAAATATAAAATTAAGTTTCAAATAACTAACATAATCTAAAGGTAAACAGCTTCTGTGTAAAGTTAATTGACTTTAATGGTTTTATCTCCCTTGGCAACAACAACTTCCATCAACTATTTGATTAGTCTTGTACCTCTGTAGAAAAATATTGACAAATTTTTCCTTAAATGATCGTTTCAACCCTTTAAAGCCAAGTGTATCATATTTGATACATTAGTTATTGAGACCTCTGAATCATCTGTGTGATGTTTTTTCTTCTTTAAACCTTGACTCACAATCAGACACATGTAGTGAACAGAAAACAAGTTAAAAGATTAACAGAAATGCCGTGTGTATCAAAATTGATGCAAATAAATAATCACATTTAATTACCGGTACGCAAAATTCATGTTTTTCTATTTGATTTGTGAGAAAGTTTGATGACAACTATAATTTTGAAAAATTAGAATTATATCATGGTTCAGGTTTTTTAAATCAAGCTATGCTAGGCTTTAAGAATCAGCAGTCTGTAAAAAAAAAAACAGGCTTAAAAATGCTACAAAACCGCAGCTGGATTATTGCTCAATTATAAACACTGAAACAACAGATGCAGAAGTGAGGCCTGGAGAGCTTTACATGTAAATATGGGTTCTTTCATAATCTCATTGGGAAATCGTCATTGCTCTGTTAGGACGACATTAGGAGGTTTGTCGTTCTTCGAAAAATCACTGTAGTCCTTAAAAAACCTTTAAGATTGATAAGTCCCCATTAACTTTTTTTTATTTTTTTGGATCAGGATCATCATGCGTTTCTCTGACCTTTATAAGCCTACTTCATGCTGTTAGAGAGGTTCTATTAGAGTCTCATCTTGATGCCAGACAGTAATTAATGCTGGATGCTTTTAAAAATTGTTAAAAAAGATTTGTTAATTAAACCTGGTAATAAAATATGTTTGATGTTGCCTTTGCTTCTCCCTGTTTTTTTTTTAGGACATACACATACTTATCTGATTGCTTGTTTATAGCTTGTTTTGTTTCTCACAGTAACCGTGTGTCATATGTTACACAGAATATCTCAGATATTTAATTAGCAAATAAAAAAATATAACCTGAAACATCAGAAACAAAAAAACAGTGAATCGTTTTTTTACTGCCCTGTGAATTTTAGTATAAACATCTTAAATGCAGCCCAGCATCTGCTTTATATACAGACAGAGAATCCTTTATTACAGACCTGCTTATTATTCAGACATAAGAGGAACCAAGATTTGGGAGCAATAATCACTGTTAGAATCAGCTGCATTTTAACAGACATAAACAACCACATCATTTCCAGATTTCCTGTTTGTTTGTATAAACAGAGAGCTCAATTGAAAATATATTTGTTTTTCTGCAATGAACAGAATTTATAGAGACAAATGCAATTTAACTGCCAAACCAAAGACTATAAGTGAGGAAATTAATGAAAATCAAATTTATGATCCATAAATCCTGGAAATAACCTTTTTTTTAATCTGTTTCACTACCAAAGTAATGAAACAGATGGAACATTTAGGCTAATGTTAGCGCTTCAGGGTTCCTACACATCTCTGCTTTAAAATGAGCGTTAAAGACCAGGAACCCATGAAGGTTGTCTTTGGAAAAGTGCAATCACTGTTATTTATGGCTGATACTCCGAAAGAGGACGGGCTTTGAATATAGAAAATGGACATTTAAAGAAAAAGAAAGAAGAACCTGAAGAAAGAAGGAAGGAGAGGGCGGATAAGACAACAGGAAAAAAGGGGGGAAGAGCGAAGCAGGAAGGAAAGAAGAGACAGAAATATATGGAAGGATATAATTTAGAATCAGAGTACAAATAATTCATCATCTGTACTGGAGAGATCCTTCAGTGACAGACTGCTGCATCATAAATCCACCAGGGGGCGTTATCACAGATCCTTCCTCCCAACAGCTGTAAGACTTTATTACCACCACCTAACAACCTAAATAAGTTGTTACATTCATGCGTATTCATGCTGCTGTCATTTTATTTACACATATCTGGTGTTGCTGCTATTTTTTTACATATCCATTACTGCAAAAATGTCCAAAACTGTTAAGATTTTTTTCTATAATATTTATAATGTGAAAACACTGTACAGTACAATATTGTGTTTTTTCTAATCTGTTATTTTTATACACTTTTCTAAGGTCCACATTGTGTGACCACTTCTATCTTATTTTCCTTTTTTTATGATCAAAATTAAATTCATTCAATTCTCCAGACTGCTGCTCTCTTATTTTCTCAAATAGCCACACTAAAATATTAAAAGTCCTGTTGGAAATTGCAGATATTTTATCACAGAGGAAAAACAATCTAGAAGAAATTACTTAGAAAGACCTAGAAATCAGGAAAATCAAATCCTTGTCTTTCCTAAGCTTCTTGAGACTGCATAGAACCCCCGTTTAAACTGTCCATGTGTCTAGAATATAGATAGCATTTGTTTTTTTTTGTTTTTTGCTTCAGTTAAAGAGAACCAGAAAGGGCGGGGGGGTGTTTTACCAGCTCGATCCAGGAGTTGACGCTGACTGTGATGGGATCTATCGACTCCACATAGTGCCACCAATGCCTCGGGACATAAAGCACCTGTACACAGACGATAAGAAAAACAAAAGTCCTCAGAAAGTTTCATTTATCAGCAGCTCAATGATGGCAATTAGTTTCTAAACCTCTGTTTTCCAAAGATAAAAAGCTGTTTGACATACTGGGAAAATCCAGTAGATGGCAGCATAAACCATAACTACTGTGGTTACCAGTCCATTCATTCATAAGGAGACTCTATTATAAAGCAGATTGATTATTGATTCGGTCCTCTGTCAGTCAGGATTCATCCGAGGAGAGATTCATCCCCGTTCTGATTTAATGGGGCTGGAGCCACCGAGCAGAGAGGCTGCTGTAGATAAAAAGCCTTTTTTTATGTCAACAAGCTAATTCTGAATTTAGAGTAAAAACAATCTCAGTGTCTGGAAGAATCAAAGGTCACATATTATGTGAGGAGCTGCATAGGACTTCAAGGAGAACAAAGAAATTGATTGTTAAAGGTGTAAAGATCAGGAATGCCAAACAGACTCGTCATACCTTGAGAATATTTACGTCTCAAGTGAAAAAAAATGGTTTCTGATTAAAGTAATTCAGGTTATCAGTCTAAAAACAGATAATCTGTTGAACAAATAAAGCAAAAAAGGTCAGGGGTGACTTCAACCTGTAAATCGAGCTTACAGAAAGCCTGCCGCTAGGTAAGGGAACAGAGACACACAGTGAGTTTCTGGATTAACGTCACAAAATAAAAGCTGGAATCTCAACAAGGTGAAGCAGAACCGAGAGTGGGCGACAGGGGTTGTCGGTTAAAGCCCTGGCTCTGGCTTTCAGTGTCCTTGGGCAAGAAACTTCACCTGCATCGCCTACTGATGGTGGTCAGAGGGCACGGTGGGGCCAGTGTACGGCAGCCTCGCTTCTGTCAGTGGGCCCCAGGGCAGCTGTGGCTATAATGTAGCTTTGCACCATCAGTGTGTGTGTGTGTGAATGACTGAATGTGTGTAAAGCGGTTTGGTTAAGTCTGCTGACTTGAAAAAGCGCTACACAAATACAGGCCATTTAGCATTTACCATTTAAGAACAAATAAAGGAAATAGAAACTAAAATACGCCACAACTAAAAGAAGAAACATTTAAGCTCCACATTAAAAAGCTGACATCTGAGTTTACAGCAGTTCTGTCGTAATATGGAGCTCATCTTTATCTAACTGATTCATCAGTCGACCCCATGACCGGGACTTAACCCTGATTCCTTCTCCCCGCAAAATTATCTAAAGAGGCAATGCAGCTTACCTTAAAGTCTAAGCTCTTGTTTTCTCTTACATAGAAAATCACTTAAAGCTGAGTCAGCTCTGCAACGGTCTAATTTTATTCAGAAGACCAATAAGGATCTGTTACTTACACAAGGAGAAAAACCATTTCTGAGTGTTTTGAAGGAAATAAATTTAGCAGTCCTTTACTAAATGTACATTCGGAGATACAAGCAAAAACAAAAGTAACTGCGGCACATTTAAGAGATTTAATTAAATAAAAACAAAAAGGAAAAAAAGCAACTAACTGATGAATGCATGTCCTTATAGAGATTCAAGGCTTTTATTGAATGTACATTTTTATTACCTGAGGAACTTTTAAACCACCCGTCACCTCATCTACACTGCATCTGTTTTATTGGTTCTTTATTGTGACATAGTAAAGTTTTATGTGATTGTAAACATAGAGTTAGTCCCTCATCAGTGTCATCAGACATACTTAAGGCCTCAGCTTGGGCCCATTGAGTTAATCGCTATTCTATCCTCATATAACTGGATGGGACATAAACTCCTTGGACTGTAGTAAGTGCAGTCTAATTTATTATTGATCCTCCACGTCTGTAACATATGTGGTGATGCCTATTTTATGCATAATAGGAGGTTTAACACAGAAATCTCACATCCTCCATAACTGCCCTGCACCACTCCATTCCAGACCGCCTATGCAAAGCAAAGTCTAAAACCCAATGGCGTAAATATCGGTAAGCAGAGACAGAAGTTGCTTACGGGCCTACGACCTCTTAGAGGCCCCATCACTGACACCTGGTGGGTCCCCTACGCAATTGTGGACTAGGACGTCTCTTTGCAGATGGAATGGTGTGAAAAATTCCTCTTAAACCCACCTAGGTTTGATAAGTATCTGAAATGAAATGAGTTTTTGGAACGTGGGATGTCTGTAACATGTGGTATTGCCCTGTCACCAATGGTTCCATTCAAGGTGGGCAGTCACTATTTTTCCGTGTGTGATCATATACTACTGAGAATTGCATAATTGTATCTTCTTGGCCGATTTATGGAACTGTTGCCATATCCTGAACCTTTGTCACGTGTTGTACTTCATATGTGGCCCACCCAGATAATGTTGTTAACGGGCCTATTGTTGTGTTGTTACGCCATTGCTACAACCTCTGCGGTTCCTCCCGTCTTGCTCCGCTCCGACTTCCTCATAGCCCAAGTAGAGCCTGCACTATATTAATATTTTATTTATAGAAGAAAAACAAGCGGTAGTGTGCGCTTTATTTAATATGACATAATTAAAAGTCACCATCAGCATCAATCACACAAGTTTCTGCCCAAACATTTGCTTTTCCTTCTGGGTATTTTTGTAATAGTGATAATTATAAGTTTGTTTTGAAGTTGTGAGATGTGCTTTTAGAAGGACTGGATCTGATTAAACTTTTAAGCCTCTCAGTATGAAATAAATATTTTGATCAAGATGAAAATTATGCTTCCTGGTATGTTGAAGTATCAATAGTTTGCATCCAATAATTTAATTAACAGTCTTAGTTTTTGGGAATATATAAGAATTTTGCTCGAATTTGTAGTTACCTATCTGTCGTTATATATTTTAATTTGACAAACCGGATCTCCTCAACATTCTTTTTCCAGTTTAGTGCGATTGCAATAGCGGATCTTGACCAGGTCGGAGACGGTAAAGAACAGAGAAGGCGTACGTGGACGGTGACGTGCAGAGGAGTAGTGGTAGATGTGGAACAGTTCTCATTGATTAACATGACTGTGCAAGTGCTCCGCACGACGTACGTGAGCGGGAAGGAGGATTTGGAATCTGGGGGTAACAAGATAAAAAGGCAATATGGGAGTCAAATTAGCAAGCATGTGTAGATGCTCTGATGCTAAAATGTCACGCTGGCCGCCAAATCTGACTTTTTAAAATAAAATCTTATCGCTGATGTGAAACGATAAAATTTTACTTTCTTCCACTACCTTGATCAAGTATTTATTTTCTAAAGTCTGTATGATACATTTCTTTATTTTCATTTAGTCATATTTGGAGTGAATTTTGTTCAGTTATTGTCCCAACTTAGAGAAACTTCTGACTTTAAATTTTCAAATCATTCTGTTAATTGAAAAGCAATGTCTGACTTTTACTTTTTTATTTTTGTACAATTTTTATCATTATTTCTGTCAGACTCAAAATGATTTCAGGGACCATTGTGGTTAAATATAGGGCAGTACTGGAGAAAAACCTGGTAGAGGAAAATAACCGTAAAGCTACAATGGAAAAGGTAAAAAAAAAAAAGGTTTGTGTGTTTCACAACGGCTCAGTCAAAGTCCAGAACTAATCCAATTCAGAATATGTGTCAACACCTAAATGGTGATAATCACTGAAAGAAATCTTGTGGGAAAAAAACTGTTTTACAAGGTGTTAACTAAGGGGCGCTGAATAAATAAGACTTCTTGATCTTTTAAGTTTAAAAAAAACATGTTTTTTTTTTTTATATATTCTTACATGCATCATATAACTTTAACTAAACTCCTGTTTTATGATATGGCTTTAGTGAAAAAAACTGCATGATAAAAACTTTTCATGTTAATTTATAATATGATACGGATTTTGTCTTTTAGAAAACAGAAAACAAATCTGGAAACATTCATCCTCAGGGTTCCTACAGCATAAGGCAAGTTAAATTCAAGACTTTTTACGACCTTTTAATGCCACTTGAAATAAAAATTTAAGACCAAATTCACAAGAAACACAAGAAAAACCTG